TGTGTGAGAGAGTGAGAGCGTGTGTGAGAGAGTGAGAGCGTGTGTGAGAGAGTGAGAGCGTGTGTGAGAGAGTGAGAGCGTGTGTGAGAGAGTGATGATGAATATCAATGGACAACTCACTATTTATGACAGAGGATCACTCACTCACTCACTCACTCACTCACTCACTCCAGCATGACCGTACACCAGGTCTTTATATGCATCATTATCAGTATCGGAGATAAGAATTCACGTCCACGTCCTCATTTTGCGGTTTGGGGAAGGCCTCGAAGGGGACTGGTGACGGCTCCTGGGCCTGGCAGATCCCCGTGTACTAAATAGAAAGGAAGAAGTTAAAGATTTGAGAACAAGGAGGGAGGGTGGGCACGTAAAGGAGAATGAACAGCTTGCAGAACTGGGGGAACCTCTGTAGATGACAGCTGGAAGGTTTGGAGGCCTGCTCCTGAAATTCCCAAACATAATCTCCAAAACATGAACAAAGAGTAATAATAACGGAGGAAAACCTTCCAGCTGAAGACGATGAATAACTTGGTCCTCACCCTGAACAATATCTTGGCTACTGGCTTCTTGAGCAGCTGCACCAGAGTCCACAGGTTATCGTACAGCGCCGTGTCCACCATTCCCGGGTCCACAGCATTCACAGTCACAGAGCAGCTGCTGGCAGTCAGCTGCTCCTGCAGGTAGTAGGTGAACAGGACCAGACCCAGTTTGCTTTGGGAGTAAGCACCATGGGAACTGTACTGGATCCTGGGAAGAAGAGGGTGAAGGGAGAATCAGAGTTAACCTGGCTTTTTTTTTTATATCCCAAACTTCCCCAGAGTACTGCAGCCGGTACAGAGCTGAGAGCAGCTTTCTCAGCATCCAGGTCAGTGCTGCGTTCATGAAAACTCCGACATCCTATTATCACTCTCGTTATCTCGGGGTGAGAACATGCACTCTTCCCAACTAGAACACAAACCAACAATTCCTGTGAACAAAAACCTTAAATGTCTGAAATTCAACAGTTTTCTAAAAGGCATCGTTGCTGTGAGAGTGCTGCTCTCAGTCCTGTCTACATGTTCACACATCATCCCAGCCCATTATGTAACATACATCACAACCATGGAAACATTTAACACCATAAAAACACTTCAAAGAGTGTGTTGGAAATCATTTTTTTAACTTCTCCAGATTCTATAAAACAGTCCATAGACTGTTATGGTTTTAAATGCAGCCTTCAGCTCATAACCCTCCTTTGTCTCTGTCTGTGAACCTTATTTTGTTTCCTGTCCATTATTTGACCACATCCACGAGTTTGTGTGCTCCACATATTCAGCTTATCTAGTGTGCCTGTGTGCATTACCCCGTATCCTCACACAGTAATCCAACTAAGACAAAACCTTTGAACACATGTGCCTCGTTTTTCCTACTCAGGAGCAGTAAGAGATGCTCCAACAGGCCCGCCGCTCTGTAGGCATGCTAAGAATACATGCTGGCTGAAATCAGGAAGCACAGTCTTCAGATGTGTCTGATTAAAGTCTGCAGCTACGCTGTGACCTGCAGCAGGATGTACCTTCTGTAGTTTGTTTTTAGTGGTGTGCAGGAGCGCTAACAGTGCTAACGCTGGGATCTAGGGGACTGAAGATGACAAAGTGTTCCAGTTTAAACATGACAGTGAAGTTGCAGATTTCCTGTGTGATTATTATAAAATGTAATCACTCAAACGTTTTGTATTCTTTCAGACTCAGAGGGTTTCACACCCACTGATTGATCTTCTCACCTCCTGTTTAAGTCCTCCATGTCTATGACTCCTGCGTAATGTGTAGCAGAGGACATGTTGATGATTCTAGAGCAGCAGCCCGGTTTTCCTGACCTCTTCAGCAGATCAAGCAACAAGTTGGTCAGCAGGAAGTGGCTCAGGTAATTGAGGCCCAAGTGGTACTCAAAGCCATCCTCTGTCTGTCTGTCAGGAACCATCATGGTCCCAGCTACGTGAAAGGAACAAGTTTAATATGTAGTAAACCGGTGTGTGACTTTGCAAAGACCATCATCAGTGTGCGTTTGTATAGCCTACCGTTATTAACCAGGACATGGAGGGGTAGACCTCTGTCTCTGAACAACCGCACAAAGTGTCGCACAGATTTCAGTGATGTCATGTCCACGAAGACAAACTCAGCTGCAGTAAGAAAAGAACAGCACTGAATCCTGACTGTCATCAGGTAACAGCAGTCAGTAGCTGCAGTGCATGTGACCTCTCGAGGTCACTGTGCACGCCACATCATACGCCCCACCATCAATAGGCAGAAATGATTGAGTTTGTCTCCCAGAAGTCCCTAAAGGTAGCAAACATCTCAACAAGTGAGGACAGTATGGAACATGTACGACGAAGGGCTTTATACTAGTAAGCATTAGCACACATGCTCATTTCTTTACGTGTCGTTACACAGCAGGAGATGCTGGTTTGTCAGGATTTACATTTTGCATTCTGAGGGGAGGTCATGTCCGAGGTCAAACTGGTTTTAACACCCTCAATGTTGCCATGGTAATGGAGAAGAAAATGTGACATCCCTGGTTCATAACACCGATTATTTACTGTTAAAGTATCATTTTTAGGAAGAAATCAGGATTATTGTCATTGACATTATTTTAGATTATCACTTATACGTTTTGCTACAGGCTGGGATGACTGATACTCACCATGTGTAGGGATAAAAGGTGTGTTTTTCTGCACTGTATTTTTTGAGTTTCCAGTTAGGCTGGACTACACTAACAGTTTATTTTAACTTATTTAAGCCTGTGCCTGGGTCTACAGTCGGCTTTCATTTGCTCTCTGTGTCAACTCAGATGTGATCCTGTTATTTAGCTTTTCAGAGAGCAAGTATCACAGCTGACATTATTTCATATATGTATTTATGATGTAAAGCATTGCCATGGTATAACATTTTTATCTGAAATTTGAGCTTTTATTTTGGAAGACCCACTTCCTGTTTCATAGACAATACTGAATGAGAGCTTCCGTGTTACTGGACTTACCGGTTCCTTCGGTCCCTTCTTCGTGAATCTTCCTAACAGCTGCTGCACCTTCTTCTCTCTCATTCCCAGCTGGAGATGATGAAGATCAAAGAGAGGCTTGGTGGGCAGATATCCAGCAGCTGATCCACTCAATGCTACAGCCTACACTCGCTAACAAAACCTTTGGTACGACTGATACTAATGAACAAAACACTGGAGAAAAAGCCAATCACAACGCGTCTATCAACAGGGGAAGGTAATATTCTGGTATTTTAGTCCGTCGTCATCAGGATGATGGAGGTAATGAAAAAATAATCTAGAGCAGGGTTGTCAAACATGACGCCCAGGGGCCAGAATCGGCCTGCCAAAGACTCCGATGGGGCCCACTGGATGGTTTTGGAATATGTTTAGGAAGTTATAGATTTTGGACTTTTAGCTGTATTTTCATGGGTTTTACAGCTTTTCCTGCTGATGAACACCAGTACCATGACCATTCATAGTACACCACAGTAATTAGATAAACAATAATTAAAAGACAGAAGAATTCATGTGGATTACTCTCCTGGGCGATGAGACACCAGAACTTTCTATAATTTTACACATTTATTTGTGAAACAGATTTCTTTCAATCACTACAGCAGCATCTTGTAGTAAAAATGAGACGCACTGTTGAAATTGGACTTAATGGGATTAAAGGTGTAGTTTAGCGTATTTACGCTGACTGAAACGAGGGCATCACTGATTCGGCCCACTTAAGATCAAAATGCTGTACGTGGCCTGCAATATAAAATGAGTTTGACATCCCTGCTCCAGAGTTAGGGTTTGCAAAGTTTGTATGTTAATGTCTTTTCAGAAAGAATTTATTGTTGGAATTCTCATTTTGTAACAATCTTTAATCAGTAGTAAGGTGGCATGCATTGACACCAGGAACGTTTAGTTAGCCCTATTGTGCTAGAAAAGTTAAAGATTTTAAATCCAAGTAAAGCGCTCAGTTGGTCCTGCATGAACTGTAGATTCATTCTACAGGGTGGCCATTTATAAGGATACTCTGTAACAACATGGGAATGGTTGGTGATATTAAAGTCTTGTTTGTGGCACATTAGTATATGTGAGGGGGCAAACTCCTCAAGATGGGCGGTGACCATGGTGGCCATTTAGAAGTCGGCCATCTTGGATACAACTTTTGTTTTTCCAATAGGAAGAGGG